TACATATTAAAAAGCACTTTAATTATTATTATTACTATTATTATTATCATCATCATCCTTTTAAAGATGGGGAAACAAGGTTAAAGGGTTAAGGGCTCATACCGCACAATTGGTATGACCCCAGATTGGACCAGAGCCAAATTCTGCGGCGCTGTACAACATAGCCATAACCAGCTCTGCGATGCAACACAAGCTGGACTGCAGTGGCAAACAATTTAATTACAGGTATAGATCCGACAGTAGTCATCTCTGAAGCCCGTGTTTTTCTAGCTTTCAGCATTGATTAGGTCAGGTTGGAAGATGTACTTATGCAGAAAGCAGGTTGAGATTTAGTATTGCTTTTGTGTTGATTATCAGGCAGGTGTTTGTTTAAAGGAAGTGGAAACAGGTGTGTGGGCCTTGATTCAATTACATGATGGAGGAGACACACTGATCCATGGCCGTTTTCAAGGAGAGATGCTGATTGTGCTAATTAATCATGTGTCTGTCAGAACAATACAGAACATAATAGAAAATGATGCTCCAATTGCCATAGGTATGGAACACAGACTCTTATACCCGGCTCTCCCAGCAAGCAGATACAGCTGTTTATATTACAATGAATAAGAAACAGTACCTGCCCCCCTCCCCCCGGTTTCCAGGTATGGGATGGGTTGAAGAAAGAATGTTTTATAAATTCTTGCCAGCAGCATGGGATGTCATCCAACAGGAATCACCTCTCAAAGGAACCTTTGCTTTCAAAGAGATTAATTGAGTCTTTTCGATAATATGGGTATCCTTGAGAGATGGCTGGAAGGGACATTTTCTCTTCGATGTCTTGGAATGCTCAATCTCCTTCACCTGACCAGACGTTTATGTGTGTAATGGGTACCATAATGGTATTTAATTCATTCCCTAATTTATCTGCTTGCTACTCAATAGCCAGACTGGTCTTTAAAGAACATAAATCAGGCATATTGATCTTCTATTTAAAACTCCCCAGTGACTTCTCAGTACATTTATGATTAAATCTCAAATCCTTTCCAAGATCAACAGACCTGCACATAGTTCAACTCCCCGCATCTCCGTCTGATTTCATTTCATACCTCTCTACTTCTCTGTTTCTGTGTCCCACCTCCCACCTTGTTATAAAGTTCATGGATCTTTTCATTTCCTGAACACAATAAAGCCATTCTCAATATCAGGTGCTCTTCTTGTGTCTGTTCCCACCTTGGACTTTGGATTTTCTTTCAACTTTTCACAGACGTTCAGGTAGCTGACACCTTCCCTAGCAGATCTCCATACAAATGTAGCTTCTTCAGGAAACCTTGCTGGACAAGTACATTAGTTTCTCAACACTATAGTGAAAACCTGAGATAATCAACTTCTAAGGAAGAAAGCCTTATTTTGGCTCTTAGTTTTGGCAGGTTCAGACCATGATTAGTTGGTATCATTGGTTTGGGGGAAGGTAGAACGTGGTGGAAATGTGTGGTGGAGTATAACTGTGTTCTTTAAAGTTGGAAAGAGAGAGACAGAGAGAAACAGAGACAGAGAGAAACAGAGACAGAGACACACACAGAGACAGTTGCAGAGAGAGAGAGAGAGAGAGAGAGAGAGAGAGAGAGAGAGAGAGAGAGCTACAATGCCCCAATCTTCTTCAAATCATGTTCCCAGGACCTAAGGAGATGTTCCCACTAAGCCCTGCCTTACAAAGTTTCCATCACCTCCTCCTCATGCCAAATTGGGACATTGGCTTTTGGGTGGTGTTTCATATCCAAGCTATACCACAACCCTATCCAAATAGGGCTTTCCTAGACACACCTCTTCATGGTCTCTATCCACTTACCCCACTTTATCTTCTTCATAGCTCTAGACTTCTGGATGGAGTAGAGAGGAGATGATGGAGGAAGTTATTTTCTGGATTGAGACTCCGTTTGTCCTGCAGCGACTGCATTCAAACACACATTGCTACGTTAGAGACCACATTTCCAGAGATCTCCTTGTCTTAGAATCTAAAAAGCTGGAATGAGTGTTACTGCTCTTAACAATGAAGAGAAACAACATGAAGGCTGTAATTTTTGTAAACCTCTGGAAGATCTGAGAGAATAGAACAATGAAGTACACTGAAATACAAGGAACAACACATTTCACCTCTTCCAGAAGAATCAGGGTTTGGGAGAAAAATATTGGATTTTGTTTGTTTTGTGTAGATGTAGACTATTAATTTTGTACATTGATTTTATGACATACCCACCAAAACATAATCTTGTTTTAATTTTTTATTAGTACATATTTGCAGTGCATGATGTTTCTAATCATCTTAGGGGAAGAGATATGCACTTAACATATCTTAATTCTTTTTATTCCCCTTTTACTCCCCTCTGCCCTTTGTCTTTCTGTCTCTGGCTCTCCCTCCCACTTGCAAAAGATCTGCCTTCCTATTTCCTGTTACCACTCTTTTAGTTAGTTTGTTTTTAATATACCAAGAAAAATCCCCAATGGATGTCCCTCATGAATGTAAGAACAAATACGCTTGAGTATATTAATAACCTATGTTTTTATTAGATAAAAAGAATAGTAAATCATGAAAAAGCAGGATTTATATTGATAATAATAGGTTGGGAAATTTTTTAAAAATAAATTAACACAACTCATTACATTAAAAGACAATAGGATAAAGGAAACAAATATAATCATCTCAACAAGTTCAGAAGAAGCATCTGATAAAATGTACATTCTAAATCTCTATATAAATTGGGATTAAAAGAACTACTACCAAATGATAAAGGACTACAACTGGCACTATCATTAATGGTAAAATTCATAGACAGTGGATCCTTCAGAGAAGAAACAAGGCAAGGGGAGCCACTCTTACCTCTGTTCAATATTTTACTGGACATTCTACATAGCTCAAGAAAGCAGGAAGCATGAATGGGAGGTAAACAGACCATAAAAACATAAAATTCCCTGTTTGCAAATGATATTATTACCTACATAGAAAATACCAAAGAATCCATGAAAGAGCTACTAAAAGGATAAGTTTAGTAAGATGGAAGAATATAGTGTCAAAGTATGAAAGCTCTATGTGTACATATTACCGATAAATATTGAAAAGAATTCCAGCAAAAATTTAAAATTTTTAGATATAAGCCTAAAATATATCTGGAAACTTTTTATCAAAAATTGTACCTGGGAGTTCACTCTCCCTGGGCTCTGTCCTGGTGGCCTAGGGGAGCACAGGCTCTGCCCCGTGATGTATTGTCCCTTTCCACAACGTTGGAGAAGAAACTGGGCCTCGTTCCTGTTTGTGCATATTCCTACAACTTCTCAGAGTCCTTTGGGCAATGACTGAGGAGATAAACCATGAAGGAAACAATGTAAAAAAGAGAAAGAGAGCGAGAGCGAGAGAGAGAGAGAGAGAGAGAGAGAGAGAGAGAGAGAGAGAGAGAGAGAATGAATTATGAAAGTTTGGTGATTAAAATAAAATGACTTAAATAATTGGAAAAAGGTAATATGTTCATAGATTGGAAGAATCCATATTAATAATATGTAATGCACTGTATATCCAGATCTACCCTGTGTCTGAGTGAATTCAGGTACAATAAAATATGCAAATAGTGTTTTAAAGGAAACTGACAATCATTTTTCTGAAATTTACAAAGGAAAAAAAAAAAGGAACTACAATGGCAAAGACTATTTTAAGTAAGGACAATCAAAAAAAGGAATCAAAGTCCTTGATTTCAAGACTTTGTATAAAGCTACAATAATTAAGACAACATGATAGGCAAAAACACAAGGTGATTATTAGGACAGAAAAAAGTCAAGAAATTGACTCACACATACAGTCAACCCTCCTTATTATTGGATTTTATATTTGAAAATCTTTTTTTGAGGGGTTGTCCCTACCTGAGCCATTAGTCAAAGAAGTATAATTAAATATCCAGAGTTTTAGTTTTCAATAAGAGAAGCCATGGTAGTTCTAAAAATGAGTCTGTCAGAACTTCTAGCTTGACACAGTGCAGAAGTACTTGCACGAGACAATATATAGAGAGCAAAACAGTAGAAATTGTCATAGCAAGGTGTTGCAGGGATCTAGACTTGGGGTCTAGGGTTGGAGCAGATGGCATTCACCGAAAACACAAAGAACAAAGACCCCCTGACCTAGTAGGAGTAAAAGATAAAAGTCCACAAAGGCATTTGGTTGAAGGGCTGGAGGATGAGAACATAGATTTTAGAGCAGGGTTCTAAGGTAGAATCTGCTTATAGGAGAAACCTAGGTAGTAAAACACTGGGGCACAAAGTGTGGTCCTACTAGAAGTAGATGGTGACTACTGACATCGAATCAACTCACTGACACACATTTCTTTGATTTTTCTCTCTCTTGTAGTCATAAGGCAGGATCAGACACACAATCTAGAGTGACAACACATCACTGGTGAGGAGACATTAGCCCTCAAAAGAGTATGCTTCAGCAATAAAAAAGAATGAAGTACTGACCTACTACTGTTGTATGCAGCTGAAATAGACAGAAATATTATAGGCAGTTAGACAGGGCCAGGCCCTGAAGGACAAGATGGAAGACAAGGTGATTTTGCAACTTGGAAGAGGCACACACTCCCATATGGGCCACACCTCAAGACCAAGACAAAAGAGAAAACACAGCTACATACTTCCCTAGGGATGGGCATCACAGATTGATATTCTAAATAGGTATCAATCACCTTGAAAGAGCCCAAACGAATCACTAGCCCAAACTCCAATAGGAAGAAAGCCTGTTCCATATTCATGCCTGCTTGCTATGGGATTTGCTTCCCCATTTGGTACTGGATTTAATCAATTTTACCTGAGCAATGGTACTTGTAATCTCATTAGTTGACCATAGTTTTGTCCCATCTCATGCCCACCTAAGCGAGTTCCTATGTCTTCTCTATCACCTTACACCCACCTTACCACATGGTTTTCCTCTACAAGAGTCCCTGGAAGAGGTAACTTCCTGGGGACAACCCTCTCAGGGCCCCCTTCTCTCTCTCTC